TTGACTGAAGTGTTGTTTGCCGTTTGTTTGTCTGGTGTTAATCCCTGCTTATCTGGGTTCTCGTTTCTGTTGAGCAGTTTTTTGGTCCTTTTGTTTCCTTTTTTTTTTTTAGCTTTTTTAACGGTCTCTTTTGAGGCACTCTTTCTTCCTGAGACACCATCTTGCCAGCAATCAAACCCCAAATAAGCAGGGATTAAACCCCAAGATTAACACCAGGTCAACAATCAAGAGGCAAACAACAGCCTAATCAAGGAAACCACCCAAAAAAAAACAAAAAACCCCACCAAAACTAACAGGGCAAGTCATTTGTATATAAACAGAGAGCAAAACCCACTGCCTTCTAGCATTGATGATGTTACCTAGTTGGGTCATGAAACGTCTGCAAGAAAGCAACCAAGCTCAGAGAGCACCAAGGACACACACACACACACAGTCCTCCTCCTCCTGCAACTCCTCCTCCACTCCCTTCTAGCACTGATGTTGTTACCTAGTTGGGTCATGAAATGTCTGCAAGAAAACCACCAGGCTCAGAGAGCACCAAGGACCCCACAGTCCTCCTCCTCCTCCTCCTCCTCCTCCTCCTCCTCTGCTTCTTCTTTTTCTTTTTCTTCTTCCTCTTCCTCCTCCTCCTCCTCCTCTTCTTCCTCCTCCTCTTCTCCAGAAACCCAACTCTTTTAGTACTGATGGTGTTACCTACTTGGGTCATGAAATGTCTGCAAGAAAGCAGTCAAGCTCACAGAGCACCAAGAACCTCACAGGCCTCCTCCTCCTCCTCCTCCTCCTCCTCCCCACGAACCCAACTCTTTCTAGCACTGATAATGTTACCTAGTTGGATCATTTTCCTGTACGATATATCCTGTATTTTCCTGTACGATAGATCCGTTATTTGGATGTATTGCACTAAATCAAGCCTTTGCCATGTCAGCAAAGCTGCAGCTTTGGGACATGCAACAAGACCTTGCAAACACCTACTAAAGGAGTAGAGTTTACACTGCAGCCAGCCTCTAATACGTAGATGGCTCTGCTCCTAAGCAAAGGGACTCTGTGCTCGCTTCAGTTCAATTTCCTTCCTTTCAGTCAATCAATTTCTCCAGCCTATTGAGATCCTTTGAATTTAACAGGCAAAACAACCAGGAGTAAATTCCCCATAGTAGGTTAAAAAAAAAAAAAGGGGGGGGGGGGACCACCCAGGAGATTGCAACACAGAAAGTGCTGACTCCCACCGTCTTCCCAATCAAGCTTGATTTTCAATCGTTGATTGCTTGATTCTCAGCCTAGCTTGATTGTTAATCATTTTCTGCTCGGCTCTCAATCAAGCTTGATTCTCAATTGTTTTCTGCTTGATTCTCAATCAATTGTTTTCTGCTTGATTCTCAAATCAATTGTTTTCTGCTTGATTCTCAATCAATTGTTTTCTGCTTGATTCTCAAATCAATTGTTTTCTGCTTGATTCTCAATCAATTGTTTTCTGCTTGATTCTCAATCAATTGTTTTCTGTTTGATTCTCCGTCAAACAGAAAGCAATACTCTAATTTAAAGCACTACCGAGAAGGAAATCACACCCTCAACCAAGACTGGCAGGGCCAGCTAATGTATATAAACAGGGAAAACACTCCGTAGCACTGATGGTGTTACCTAGTTGGGTCATGAAAGGTCTGTAAGAAAATTGCCAAGCTCAGAGAGCATCCCACTCCCTTTAGCATGGATGATGTTGTCTAGTTGGGTCATGAAACATCTTTAAGAAAATAACCAAGCTTAGAGAACACGAAAGACCTCACAGTGGTCCTCCTCCTCCCCCTTCTCCTTTTCTCCGCAAACTCCTCTCCCTTCTAGCACTGATGATGTTACCTAGTTGGGTCATGAAATGTCTGCAAGCAAACAACCAAGCTCAGAGAGCATGAAGGACCACACAGTTCTTTTGTTCCTCCTCCTCCTCCTCCTCCTCTTCCTCCTCCTCCTCC